GAGGGGGCGGAGGCAGGGGCGGGGCGAGGGCGGTGCCCACCGATCTTGTGGAAGAGCTCAGGCAGCTGCACCTCCACCTTCTCGCGCTGGAACATGTGGTACTCGGCCTGCTCGCAGATGGGCGGGATCAGGTTGAACTGCCGGGCCACGGAGTAGGCCTCCTGTGGGTGCAAAGGGGGCTCGATGGTCCCTGTCTGTCAGTGGGTCTGGGGACCCCCTGGGAAGCGGGGAGAAGACACAAAGGCATCCCCAGGGAAGGGCTGGCCTGCCTGTCCCTCCCCGCTCACAGCTTTCCTGGGAGAGCCTGGGATAGGATATGGGTTGTCGGACCGAGGGGGCTGGGATTGACAGGGCAGCACACCCAATAGTGAGACTTGGGTTCTGGCACTTTCTGGCTGGGAGGCTTTGGGCAAGAGGCTCACCCCCCTGTGCCTCAGTTTCCCCATCTGTCATGACAGTCAAATGAGCCAGTGGCGTTTGCAGCCCCCACAACAGTGCCTGCGGGCTCCACAGTTACTGTGTTTATCATGATGGTCACTCTGGGGCCAGGACCCGGGATGACAGCGGCGGCAGAAGACACTAGGTCCGGAGCGAGAGCGGCTGGCATCAGCCCATTGCTGGAACTTGCCGCTCAAGGCCTCCACGGGGCAGACCAGACGAGCTAAGCCAGGGCCAATGTCTGCAGACAGACCCCTGGGAAGCCCTGTCTGCCAGCCCGGGAGACCCCTGGGAAGCCCTGTCTGCCAGCCCGGGAGACCCCTGGGAAGCCCTGGCTGCCAGCCCGGGAGACCCTCTCCCCTTTAGCTGCAGACTCAGCTCTCACATCTGTAAAACGGGGAGAAGGTGCTGTTGGCTTCGGGCAGCTCCAGAAAGATGCCGAATTCTCATTAACGGCAAAGCTGAGTAATGCCAGGGGCCGCCAGGGTTGTGTTTAACTCGAAACGAAAATCCCACTTAATTTCTTGGATGGAGTGGAAACCTGGGGCTCGCCAGAGGAGAACCCCCTTCCAGGGGTGCCGGGATATGGGATTCTGGGAGGTGGGGCAGGAAGGGCTGAGGCTGAGAGCGGCTCTGGAGGGAAGGGGGGTGAGTAGTCTCGGGAGGAAGATGGGGAACCGGGAAGACCCAGTCCCCAGGCCTCTGTCCCGCAGCCCCCCACTCCCACCCCGTTGGCCCTTTTGGGATCCCTTAGAAATATCATGAAGCCTCTGCTGCCCTCGGCCTCAGATGGCTCTCGTGGAGGGAAAGGAAAATAAAATGAAGGAGACGCTCTCCTGAGAGTGTGGGTGAGGGCCCAGCACCGGGGTGGACTCTGGGGGCCCAGCAGCCGCTCACATTCTGAGGCAGCCCAGACTCTCGAGCCGCATGGCCTGGGCATTCATCTCAGCGCGAGCTGTGTGGCCTTGGGCCTGTTACTCAACCTGTGCCTCAACCTGCATATCTGAAAAACAGGACAGCAGCGCTCAGCTCCTAGGGTGTCGTGAGGATCAAACAGGAGTTCGTCCGCACGAAGACTTTGACTCTAACGGCCCTGGAAGCTCAGGAGAGCTCAGCGTGAGTGCCTGAGGCTGGTGTCACTTGAGCTCCAGGACCTTCGCTAGGAGCTTCGCACCTGCCCTCAGGACAGCCGCATGAGGGGGAAGGTGGTCCTCACAGCCTCGTTCTACAGGTGGGGAAAGCGAGGCTCAGAGAGGTCGAGTCCGTCTTAACACAGATAAACTCCACCTAGTGCTGAAGCCACAAGTCACAGTTATATGCGTGATCGGAACTGGCCAGGGCCCCGGGAGCTCCATCCACAGAGTGGGGGCAGGGAGCCCGCTCCCGCAGACGGACACACACACACACACACACACACACACACACACACACACACACGCCGTACCATGATCTCCATGGAGCTCCAGCGTGACGTGCCCCAGTACATGGCCATCCCCTGGTTGATGACGTGGGTCATGGCACGTACGGTCTCTGTCGTGAGAGAAGGGGAAATTGCAGGTGGCGGGGGCGGCCGGGGGCCTGGGGCCTGGGGCCCAGCCTGGGGACATTCTGCAGATGCAGGCGGGGCGCCGGGAGCAGGCAGAGGGCGCTGCGAAGGTGTCTTGCAAGCAGTGTACTTCCTGGCTCCGAAGTCGTGCGGCAGGGGATCGCCGGGATGACAGAAAACAGTGAACCCCAGACCCAAAATGGTCTTGAAAACCATTTTCCCAAACAGTTACGGGTCTTACAGAATCCTTGAAGAACGGGCTATGGATGGACTGGGGCGTTTCTGTGGCAGAGTAGAGGGATGAGGGGAGGGGATTCTAGACTCTGGAAGCGGGGTGGTTCTCCGGTCCCAGACCTAGACCCAGATGGTCAGGAAGAACCAGGTACGGACTAAGGTTACAATCGGACTGGCTCAAGGCAACAGGAAGTAAACACACGTTGCCTGTTTCCGGTCTGCTACTTTGGGCTATTTCTGATTCTCAGTGGCATCTGGAAATGGAAGGGGGAGGCGATGATGGCATCTGTAGGGGCGATGGGCATGGTGTGGGGGGCCCTGGGTGGCACCGGAGGTGGGGGCGGCAGGCCGGATCTCTCTTCACGTCCAGGGGAGCCGGAGGAGTACGTGGACAGCCCTGCTTGGGCCACGCAGCCCGTCCCCAGGCTGGACAATTCCCCCAGCACGGGACAGTAGTGGCTTCTGCTCCCAGGACAATGGGGGTGTGGGTGCCCTGCTATGAAGGGTCACAGTCCCCATGTGCTCTGAACACTGGACAGGTGAGAAGTGCAGTGTCCTAAGGACCAAACCACTGGAAACCCCCAGGCCTGCCTTTTAGGTCAGAGAGAAGCTCACCCCACAGTAGATTCTTCCTAGGACTCGAGAAAGTTTTTGAAAAATAAAGTCTGTCAGGTATAGCTCCCTCCGAGGCTGCTTCAGCCTCACAGGGATGCTGTGGTTTTTAAAACAGAACTTGGCCTTAGATTTTTAAATTTCCAATGTCTCTTAGCTTTGGGGGGTGAGGGCTGCTCCCCTAGATTTCTCCCAGGCCCCATACAGTGCTTGCAAGTTTGGCTGCCCAAGGCCGTGTGGGAAGTAGAGCTGGAGAACAGGCATGATGGGGACCCTTGCCCGAGGTCCCCTGGGGCCCTGGGTGGTGGTCTCAGCGGGTTCGCCCAGGACTCCTGAAAAGTCACACCTGGGCTTCTGCCCTGCCTTCACCTTCCTTCCAAGGTCAGGGACTGGGCTCCTCCCGCCCGTCCCCGGGAGGAGGGCTGGCTGGCGGGGGAGCCCAAGGCCCCCGGGACTGGCAGCGGGCCGCTGCTTTAATGCCAACGCCATTCAGTGAGAAGAACAGCGCCTGGTTGGAGAGTCTCACTGAGGGTCTCGGGGAGACACCTGCCCACATCCTGGCCCGGCTTTCCTTGTTGGGTTCTTTAGAAACACTCCTGGGGACACCTGTGACCGTGCGGCGTCACTGCCCGATTAGTCAGCCAGGGCGCAGGCCCACATGCTGGAGAGGGAAGCCGAGGGCACCCCGTCCACCAGCCTGGCCCCTCGCAGGGCCCTCGGCTGACGGGGGAACCGCACGAGGCACTGCAGTGCCCCTTCCATGCAGAGAGGGTGTCCACTGGCACCTGGGGGACAAGGCCACAGTGGGAGCCTGCGGCTGGCCTCAGAGGGGAGGGGTCCTGGGCAAAGGCTCCTGGGTTCCCTGAGGGTCCCGGGCAATGGCAAGCTGGGCACGGAGCTCACACCCAGGAGTGCGGCACTCTGCACCTCTGCCCAAGCGTGAGGTCAGTGGCCCCAGAAACAGGACAATTAAGGACAACTGCCCTTCATCTCAATATTGAACGCTGTGGGACAGAAACGGGAGAGCTGAATCCTGCAGATGCCGCCAGACCCGTGGCATCTCCTGCTGCGTCGCAGATGACATGAGGAGGGGGCAAGTGGCAGCGCCGGTCGGCGGGCAGGAGACTTGCCCTTGTGGGACACAGCCCAGTGCCCAGGGAGGCCGAGGCCTGCCCTTGGTGTGGGAGTCCGGGGACCCCTCAGCTTCCGGGCGGGAGAGACCAAGCAGGGCCACAGGTTGTCCTGGGTCTTGTGTCTCCCAGGGGGAGAATGACTGCCTTTCAGTGGAGAGGTCAGGCCACACGGCATGGGGTGAGAGTGGCAGGTGGCCCAGCCCGCCCGGAGAGGCGACCACTGCCCTCGCCAGGACGCTCACGGAGGAGCCAGCGTGCTCTGCACGGGGCGGCTGGACCTGGGGCTCATTGCTTTTGGCTGAGGTGGGAGCTTAGCAAACACAAACTACAAGAAGCACAGAGATGTGTCGGGGCTACATGTTCTGGGGTCCCCGATGTGTTCACTCTGGTGGGAACCTGGTCTCCCCCAGCCCTCTCCCAGTCCATCCAGGGTCAAGGTTTCAGGCGCCGATCGCAGCATCCCCAAATCAAGAGAGGCCCCGGCAGACGGCCGGCCGGCCCCCGAAGGTCACAGCAATGCCAGGCGGGGAGGGGGCATGCGCACGGAAGGACGGGAGGCATGGAATGGCAGCGTGGCCTGGGCGGGGGGCTTTTCCTTCACTTGCAAGATGTTCTCAGAGGGCGTTTGCTTTCCCCTTATGCATTTTATGAAGAAGTTTGTCATCGGGGGAAAAAGTAAATAAAATCACTGTCTCATAAAATGCAGCTTGGACACAGAAGTCAATAGTCGGGCCAAGGGTACTGTGTACCTTCTATGATGAATGTCCTGGACTTGGAGGAACTAAATGGGTCCCCTGGTGATAAAAGAAAGATTTAAAGAGACCAGAGTTTATAGCTGTGGGAACATGGAGAGGCGTGGAATGACAAAGGGCACGGGAAGAGGCACAGATCACTCTGCAGGATACTCGTTTTGTTAAAACAGACACACACACACGCACACGTGACGGTGTACATATATATACATGTACATATACGTGCGTGTGTATTTATATATACACATATATATAAATAAACAAATGAAAAACATAACTCGAACACAACTTAATTTTCCAAGTCTTTGAAGCACGAAAGCACAAATGAGAAGCCGCCAGAAGCAGGAAGTCGGGGGAGACGGGAGGGGCGGAGATGGTGGGAGTTGGAAGAATAAATACGCTCCCCGAAACCAAACCGATTTTCAAAGCCCTGCGTGCTTTTTCCCTGCCAAGTAACACTCTT